AGACTGATGCTGAGGCTGAAGCAGGCTGAGGCTGAGGCTGAGGCAGGCTGAGACTGAGGCTGAGGCTGAGGCAGGCTGAGGCTGAGGCTGTGACTGCGACTGCCGTTGCCACTGCGACTGTCATCGCTAATGCGACTACGACTGCGAGAACGGCAGACTTCTACAACTGGATTCTCATCTGAATCTTAAGGGGAATGCTTCCAGATATGCTCCTACACATCGCTGTCAGGTTGCTTTGCCGGGATAATTGAATTCTTTGCGCAAGCGAAGGTTTTTCAAAGATTTCGGCATGCGCGCGCGACGACGCGCGCGTGCGCACTTCGCCCCATTTGTTGCAAGGAGCTCTTGCGACACCACGCTCGCAAAAGGTGTTCGAACGTTGTCGACGCGCGCGCGAGAGGTCAATTTGGAAACATTCAAGGCAGGTTTGTTTTTTTAATGCGAAAAACTATGGTTTTCTCGAGAATTCGCAAAGTGCGGGCGCATTTGTTTTTGAAATCTGTGTTGCAAAACCATGTTTGTTCGTTTTGTCGTGACACTTGATGTTCAGATCTTTACGAAACTTGAACGGTTTGAAGGATCACGGCATGCGCGCGAGACGACGCGCGCGTGTGCACTTCGGCTCATTCGTTTTCCAGGGATTATTGCAAACTGCTGGTTTTTGATATACCAGAGTGCGCGCATAGTGTTTTTGCAGAGGATGGCGGAGGGTATCGATACCGGCTGGGCTGCAGAACTCAAATGCAACATGGACAGCGGATCAGAATCATATGCAAATTACACATCGCGAGGGGGGGATCGCTAACTCCGTCTTCGGGAGGGGGGTATATAATCGATTGCGAAGGCCTTACGGCCGGTGCCGCCGACCCTGACGTTGGGGAGAAGGGCGCGGAGCATGGGGAGGAATATGAAGAGGGGAACAGGAGGAAGAGGCGGATGAGGAGGAGTAGGAGCACAGGGGGCGAATGAATAGGAGGAAGGTGAGGCGAGCAGGGTCGCCGGGGGGGCACAAATGAAGGGTAGGGGCGAGTAGAGCGTGGCGATCATGAGGAGGAGAAGGAGGGAAATAATGGCGAGGATGTTGACGATGTTGACGACGACGCCAGTTGCCTATCAGGACCATTCGGGGCGTCTTGGAGCTCTCCTGGGGCGACTTCCAGGCTTCGTTCGTTGTTTTGAACTCGTTTCGGCATCTTGGGCATGAGGGGGGCCATGGAGGTGTAGTCAGATTTGGAGGGCGCTGGGGCCGGGACCTGGGCCAGGGCCGAGGCCGGAGCGGGCCGGGAGCCAAGGCCAGGGCCGGGCCGTGGCCGGGGCCGAGACTGGGGGGCCGGGGCCAGGGCCGAGGCTGGGACTGGGGCCGGGGCCACGGCCGGGGCCGGGGCCGGGCCGGGGCCGGGCCGGGGCCGGACAGGGCCTGGGCCAGGGCCGGGGCCGGGGCCGGGGCTGAGGCCGGGACTGGGTCCGGGGCCGCTTCCGGCGGGGCGCGGGAGCCGGGGCCGGCCGGAACCGGGGCCAGGGCGGGGAGCTGCGGGGGCCCCAGAAACGATCAGATTACCCCCTGGACCCCCCCCCCCCCCCCGGGACCACCCCTGGAGACACCCCCCCCCCCCGGGACCCCTCCCCCGCCCCAGGAAGCGATCCAAGGGAAGAGCTTCGCCTTCACCCCCATGTGAACGACGTTATGTGGCGTATTGGCTGGAGTGGATTGCTTCGCCGTCGCCTATGTCAACGATGTTATGTGGCGTAGTGGTTGGAGTGGATTGCTGCAGGAGGGATGGCGGCGACGACCACGCGGACGAAAGCGTCTCACACACGCCGACAGGGTCGGCTGATTTTTCGTCGACAAAAATGAGAACATGTGTGGCGCAGTCCTTGCAATGCAGAGCCAGACACCGCAATGCAAGACAATGCGAAGTAATGCAACGCAGTGCAAAGCAACGCAGAGCAATGCAGAGGAACGCACATGCATGCGAAGCAATAAAATTCAGGGCAAGCCAACGCAAAGTAACGCAAAACGATGCAACGCAATGCAGCGCAATGAAATACAAAGCATCGCAAGACAATACCACGTAATGCCAAACACAGCACAACAATGCAACACAATGCCAAGCAATGCGACGCAACGCAATGCGATTGCAAAGCAGCGCGGATGCAATACAATGCAACGCAATTTTTTGCAAACAATGCAAAGCGATACAAAGCGACGCAATGTTAGACAATGCAATGCGAGCCAATGCAAAGCAATGCAAATCACAGCGTAGCTGTGCAAGGCAATGCGAAGCAATGCAGGCCCGGAGGACGAGCAGCGACGTGGCGGCCAAAGCGCCAGACAGGCCCAGAAAACGGGCGGCAACGAGGTGGCGACGGGGCGACGACGGCGGCGACATGGCGCCAGATCGACCCGCAGGCCCAGACGACGGGCGGCGACGGGGCGGCGACGGCGGCGACATAGCCGCCAAACCAACCCGCAGTCCCAATTCCACATTATTCGATTCCCTTAGTAAGAACCCTAAATGCAAACACGGTTTGGGGAAAAGGGCTCCCGACCTGCCTCACTCACCCTGCATACCGCGGCCGCCAGGCCCAAAGTGCGCCCCCTGGATAAACCGCCTCGCGTCTTCGACGAATGACGACCGCATACCGCGGCAGCCCAGCTCAAAGTGTACCAGGGCATCCTGGGGATCCCGCCTCGCGCTCTCGGCTGGGAATCGCGCGAAGCAGGACAGGTTTCTTTCATGCGAGAAGAGTGCGCTGTGCGCCACATCTTCGCAGCGCGGTGTTGTCCTGGAGCGCGGTTTGGTTACGGTCGGCTTACAGGTGTGATGGCTGGCTGCTGCTGAATATGCCGAGCTATGCATAACGGATGTCAGCGACAGTGACAACACTCCGATATACACTGTGAGTGCCCACATACAGCATAATGTCTGATTTAAATCAACATGATATTAATTCGCACTGGGTGGTTTGCGCGATCATTCATGTGCGCGGCATCAGTGAAATTGGCTACAGCAACGCATATGGTTGCTTTGTGAGGTGTGCACAACAATTCGATTCAGCAGAGAAGGTAGGTTGTGCTCTAGATTGCGGGTTGACTCTGTAACATACGCAAACACAGTTTGCGCACGCATTCGGCATGTAAAAGAGTCCGTGTGCACAAATACACGCACACACGCTCTCCCGTGGAAAATGATTAGCATTTGGAACGCGCCCGTCCTCTTCTTCCCTCATCTCACAGTAGGCCCAAGTTGTGTCGACACGGCTGCGACCCCAGCACGGGCGTTCCAGGTTAACCGCCAATTCCCAAGAATCGGCTTATATGGACCTGCCGGTCGAAAAAACGCCTAGCGTTCCAGGTTGAACGATCCACGTGGTGTCAGACACCAATGTTGCCGTCCTCACGACACGAACTTGCCGTGTGGCCTTCCCTCCTCCCCTTCATATGGACCCCATACACGCTTCTTTGGTGAAGATGTTGTCCAGCCTGTCGGGCTCTGAGAGGCAGGGCATCAGGCCGCCCTCTGCATGCGAGAGGGACCGCAAGAGATCAATCGCCGCGCCGCCGCGTGCAACGCCGGCCGAGTGGACGTCGTATTCAGGTCGTGGTCTTCTTGGCGGCCGCAACTCGGGCATCGGGCCCAGAGCCTTGACAAGGTTACGGAGATCTGGGCCCTTCCATTTTTCCCTCCCCTCGGGGTCAATTTCGACCCGAGTCATCGCCCCGACCCGATATCAAAATTTCGGTCGACCCCGATCATTTTCGATCTCGATATCCCGACGATCCGATACGGCCCGATGTTTGCGTGGCGTTTTTGTACATCATGGCGCAGCCGATGTGATTTGATTCCGACTCCGTGCAAATGCGCCCCGATCCGACGCTTGTTATAATCCGATCAGATGTAGTTATCGAATCGACGTTGCCCGCCCTTGCCTCCTTCATTCAGTATCGTTTCACCGATCCCCATCCCCATCCCCATCCTTTCCCACCATCCCGCCACCCCAGTTGGGGGCAACTATGCCCCTCGAAACCCGAAGGGTACAGCCTACATCCCCATTCTATGGGGGGGGACTCGGCCAGTGAGGCCCAGGCCACGTCAGTGGGGAGTGGGATCGGTTCAACGATGCTCCCTCCTCTGGCCAGACCTCCCCCCACTTACCAGCACCGCAGGCTGCAAGCCGGCCGCCCCTCTGGGCCTCCGGGGCCGCAGCGCGCGGGCGCGCCCGGTGTGAGGCGAGGCCTCCGATGCCCGGGGGGGGGGGCACCCGCCCCGCTTCTGGTGGAAACTTGGCGAACATCCTCCTCCTCCTCCTCCACCTCCTCCTCCTCCTTCTCCTCCTCCTCCTCCTCCTCCTCCATCTCCATCTCCCGCGGCGCGCACAGGGGGGGGGCGGGGTGGGCGGCCGTCTGCGAAGGCGGCGGCTTCTCTCCGAAGGGCCATGGGCTCCACTGCTGGAGCTTCGCGGAAGCTGGGGGCAGGCAGGGGGGGCTTCTGAGAGGCCCCGCTGCCTTCTCGGAGGCCCCCTTGCCGTCGTACAGGGCCGCCACCCCCGTCCCACGTGCCTGCGCGCATCGCCAGTCTAGCCCTCCCCTTTAGAGCAGGTGACCCGAATATTTGCGCGCTTGGCCTGCAAGCCGGTGCCCCGCGAGAGTGTATTTTCTCTCGATGGGTTTGCAAAGCCCTGGAGGATTCCACGTAGTGCAGAGTCGACCAAGGACGTGCCTACCCAGGTTTCTGGCAGCAAGATCTCAGACGATAGGTTCTCGTCGTGTCGACCAGCGGCGCCGCCGCCGCCGGCGTTCAACGTTGAACGCCGCCAGCGACCAAGAATCGGTCGATGTTGAACGATCTGACGTGTCGGAATTGACCGATCGTTCAAGGTTGAAGGATCCCCGCGGTGTGTGTTAGGAACCAACGCCGTGGTGGACACGCGTGACACGACACGAACCTGCCGTCTCGTATGTGCCTACCGTACACCGGCGCCGCACAACGGGACCGCAGGTGGCCCTGCACCACGACCCCGACTGGAAGGACCCCGCCGCACCCCGGGGCGCAGGAAGGTCGTCGTCGTCCTCAGCCTCGTCCTCGGCGCGCCCTCCACCTGGCGTTGGTGGGAGCGGATGGGCGGCAGACGCGCAGGCACCAGCACGCGTGCGCGGCGCGGCCACCCCTGGCGCGCTCTACCGCACCCTGGATCCTCATCTGCAATGGGATCTCGTTGTCTGCAGCTCCATCTCACTCGCCAGAGTTGCAGGACATCTGCACGGCTCTCCTCCTCTGCCTCGAGTCCCTCTTTCTTCTCCCTCCTCCTCCTCCTCCTCCCCCTCTTCCTCCGCCTATTCTCATCCTCTTCCACCTCGTCCACCCGAGGCACTGAAGCACTGATGGTCTGGGAGTCCGCTAGGCGCGAGCATTTCCACCCCAGGGCTGGTCGGCCCTGGGGGGAAGATAAGGCTAGTGAGCCAAGTGACTCCTTGGGAGGTCGCCCCCTGGGGTCACCGGCTGGTGAGTTATTAAAAAGTGAGGGTTGCGACATTACGACAGACTCCTCCACCTCGTCGTCCTCCTCCTAGACCACGCTGGTTTTTAAACAGAGCACTGCGGACAACGAAAGCAGGGAGGGTAGAGGAAGGGGGGAGGGGTAAGGGTGACATGTCATCGCTCAGCTACGAACGCACCAGCTGTTTCAAGGCGACGGCACGCCGCAAGCATCTGGACGACCCACAATTTGCACGGGTAGTTCGCGTCGTGTCGGCGCGGCGGCGACCCCAGCGCGGGCGTTCAAGGTGAAACGCCAGCAGTTGCCCAGAACCGGCCAATATGGAGCGATCTGGCGGTCGGAGAGCCACCGACCGCTCAAAGTCGAACGATCCACGCGGTGCCAGAAGCCAGCGCTGGGGTCGTCACGATACGATCCTGTCGTCCAGGCAAGACTCTTGAAGGAGGGACCGGCTCGGGTTCGGCAGAGACTGGCTGTGTCTCGCAGGTCCGTCCACAGTCGTTCCTCCAGCACTCCTCGTGCACCCAGGCGCTTCTGGGGCCCAAAAGAGGGCCTGGTTCCTTCTCTGTTGTTTCTTGCGTCAGCAGCTTGACTGTGTGTGGAGGGGGGCCAGTGGCCGAGCGACGTGGGACGCGGGAGCAGCGGGTGCGGAGGGGAGAAACCCCTCCTGGGCGCCGGCATCGGCGTCGCCACTGTGCGCCATTTGGAGGGACGAGGGCGGAGGAGGGGGGGCCCTCTGCCTCGCTCCCTCTTGTTCCCCATAAGTGTCCTCCCTCCTTCGTTTCCTCCTTCCTCCTAGTCCTCCCCCTCCTCCTCCTCGTCGTCCTTTCTCCGCCTCCTCCCTCCTCCTCCCTCCTCCTCCTCCTCCTCCTCCCTCTCCTCCTCCTCCTCCTCCTCCTCCTCCTCCTCCTCCTCCTCCTCCTCCTCCTCCAAGACCTTCAAGACAACATGAGGTGATCATACGGCCACGCCAAGGCACAGCCATTGCACAATTCACCTGCAGAAAGATAGGCCCCAGCACTCTCCTTGACATCCTTTACATCCCTCCTCAACATACCTCCCTAACCCACATACAATGGAGAACGCTGGTCCTGGAAACCCTGGGTCGACCAGGGGTTGGTTGGTTGACGGCAGCGGGAATGAAAAGAGACAGACACAATCAGCCAAAACCTTAATCTTATGAGTCAGACAGTGGCACTCGTGCCGCCTCTTCCATCTCTCTCCAGTCTGATGTCCGCAGCTCGCTGAGGGCCACAGGGTGACCAAGAGGCAGACGGGCATGGCACCGTGCCACTGCACGGACCTCGGCAGGGTGTGGAAGGGAACAAGGGATGAGGACGAAAGAAGGGGGAGGAGGGGACACGGGGTCCCGAGCCTGGGGGTCGTTCCTGGAGCAATAGCTCTGCGTAGCTTTGACCGCTCGATGGACCTTCGCAGTCGAGTTCGTAATGGAGTAGGAGTCCCGAGGCCTTGCGGGACGCAAAACAACCACATTCGTTGCAATAGATGACCGGGAGGTCGTTGCTCACTATTCTTACCCCAAATAGTTGGTGCCCCTGGCCCCCTCCTGACGAGAGGAGGGATTGTAAAGTGGGGGCCAGTGCATCACATGTGAAAGTGCTCGCTGGTGAGCACACTCTGAGGCACCTCGAGCATTTGTATCCGACTCCATCCCTGACGGGCAAGTGTGGGGGGAGGAGTTTGCCTTAACGGTTTCGGTACGTTCTGCGCGGGACAACTTGCCATACAATCCCATTAGCGGTGGCCAAACGCTTAGAAATTGGGTACCCCCCGCAGCTAGATTACAGCTTTCAGCCAAAGCTTGCTGGCAGACCTCAACCGCTGCTGGTGGATACCCATGGGCCCTCGAGGCGAGTCACAGTGGTCCGCGAGGGCGTTCCCTTGAATCGCAAGACGGTCGAGGTCATCTTCAGCACTACTTAAATCTCTGCGAGCCTTGACTTTGACAAAAATTAGCCGATCACTCTGGCCTAACTTATGTGCTGCTGGGCGCCAGTACTGCGAGCGGGGGTTCCTCCCAGCGAGTGCTTTCTCAGGCCAGGAAGAATTTAAACTAAGAGCACTGCGACCATAGTAGATCATTGTATCAGTTGGCTGGTCCGATGTTATGATGGCTAATGGCACTGCTGCATGCTCTGCATCGCCACTGGTCTGAGAGAAGCCCTGGGGAAGTGGGGGAAACATGGCACGAATTAAATTGCCTGCTTCATAAACCTGAACTGCCGCCACTCCCGTCCTCGCCAGCTCTGGGTCGGTTGGGTGGTCACATCCACCGTAACTCATAGCATCAGAAGGGAAGTTAAATAGCTCTATCTGTGCCGTGCCTGGGCCCACAAATCTGAGATTCCAACATTGGCTGACTGGGTCCAAAGTGGGGAGGGGCTGCCCGAGATAACTATATAAATGATGTTCTGGCCCAGCTTCCAAGGCATCCTGAACCAGCGACGGGGTAAAACCTTTCTCTCCTTGCCCCTGTCCACATGGACACTCCCAGAGCCGAGGAAAAACCGAAGCGTCTAGCCCAAACAAACGCATTCAGCAGGGACTTCATAGCCCCATCTGCTGAGGTTGGCCCCAGTGAGGACCGAACAAGAAAATATATGGTTAACAGGTGTCCATTGCGTTCCACTTCTTTCGATCTGAAAGCCTTCTTCGCCGCAAACATCCACATGCCCGCTGCCCGAATATGGCTGGCAACGGGGTGGGTCATGGATGCAAGCTTCTTTTGTGACACTTCAGCGAGCTTAGCGGCCGAAAGTTCTTTGACCAAGTACTGTGCCACCCCAGCAGGCGGCACTTCAGTTAATGCGGGCGCATGTCCAGCACCCGTGGCGAGGATAGCAGGGGACTCGATGGTCCGCCCTGCGGTTTTCAGCCACATAATGGCATCTGAAAGAGGGCCCCTGTTCCGAGAAGCCCAAGGTTCCCCAACAGTAGATTCAGCCCATGCTTGGGCTTCTCCGGATGTTGTCGAGAGATTGCTCAAGGGGATGGCATCTGCATGCGCTGAGCCTCCTTCTGGACGGTTGTTGGTGCAATGCCACCACTCGTTTGCATACCTTTCTAGAGTGGCTGCTGCTGTAAAGATTGGGTATTCTTGACCTCTGGAGGCGAGGGCCCAGGATATTGCCATTGGGCAACCTGCTTGCTCCTCCCCCCCTGTAACCACAGCCGCAGCCTGGCGTTAAGCTAAAACCCCCCGCGGGGAAAAACCCTGGACATGCGCCCCATACGTCACCACGGGCTGGATGCTGGCATTGAAAAGTCTGCCCTTCAGGCGTCCGGTCGTTCGGATAACCCAAAGCTCACGAAACCTTCTCCTGAAATTCTTCCATCTACTCATTGGTTTTCTCAGTGCACGAGCGTGTGCATGTGTGCGGCCTCCAAGGCAATCCACTCCAAGATTTGCTCGGGCCTGCTCGACTGTTCCTGCCAGAGGCCCCAGAGCATGTTTAGCATCACGGATGAGTTGGTTGGAGTTCCCCGTGACATTCATGCTCTTTGTCGATAGTGAACAATTTGGACACTCTTGAAGCACCTTGGCCAGATACTGCGGGAGTGCCACCATCGTTTCAATGCATGCCGCTGCTGATTCCGACCATGTGTGGGGCTTCAGGTCGTCCGTGTGCATTCCCAGCGCAGGCGCACTTGGCTCATGTGCCCAGCTCTGGATTGTCGGCATCAAGCACTCTGTTGCCTCAAAGGTCGCCGAGGTCGAACTTGCAATGATGCCTGCAGGTGGATATATTGCAGTGCTGTAACCTCTATCTAGCAATAAAACGATGCCCCATCTGTAAGAGCCAGTGGTCTACAGCATGGCATACAGAGGGAAGCCAACGAGAGCTGCGTGTTCAATGAATTTAAATGGACTGCTGTGCCATAGAACTGTACCAGATCCCACGAAACACATAACTACGATATCTCCTGGGAAGCGCACCATTCACTCCGAACCGCATTTCCCCAGTCAGTGGATTAAGGACCTCGCTTTTGTGACATACTGCATGCTGGGCCCAGGCCAAACTCACGTTCCCAGCTTCTGCATGGTGCCCGATAAAGTTTAGCATGTAGCCTTGGCATAGCAGTGTAACGGCCTAATAGACGCCGGCCTCCTTGGGGGGCTGTTGAGTAAGGAGGGCGATGATGGTTTGACTTGATGTCGGCGCCGTTCCCAAGACATCCAGGCCATGGAAGATGAGCGATGGCGCACGAAGAGCATCCTGCGAGATCAACGCGCAGCGTCTCGGATGCATGCCATCAAGGGGTACACGTCTTTAGCTTGCACCTCCTAGCGGTACGTTTGATCGCATCTGGCTCAGTGGGCTTGGGCACTGGAATGGGCGCTCATCCTGTACGGGGTGGCAGTCCTGTCGGGCACTGTGCAGCTTCCCATACAAGCGACCAGTGCTGAGATGCTTTACACAAGCGACTCGGTAGCGATGACGAGCTTCCATCCGGGCACATGACCACATCTTATGGTATGTGGCCTGTGCCTCGATGAAAATAAGACGAG